TGTCCTCTACAAATAATAATGACGATGAAGTGAGAATTTTCGCCAGTTCGTTTACATAAACAACAAGGAGCCTAGAACACTTCCCTGACGTAATCCACACAATGCCGTCTACCATCCTGACAACACACCATTAACTCTCACACTTCGCTTCCTAACCAGTAGGTAATCCCTAAACCACTCGTCACGTAGGCACTTCTCTAATCTAAAAGCTGTTAGCTTACTGAGAATAACTCAGTGGGACACTTTATCCAATGCTTTACTAAGATCGATAATAAAACAATGTCATATAGCAGGCTTTTATCCCTGGCCTCTACTCTATCTCCTCTAGCCAACAAACAGTGTGTTAGTTCGGTTGGATCGTCATTGTTAGAATGCATGCTATTCCTCTGTCAGTAAGCCGTCTCTCCATATGGGTCTAATAGATGATGACTCACGATTGTTTCTAATGTCTTTTCTATAGTGGTAGTTTGATAGCAATTTCATGTTCCTTTCTTTGAAGATGGGGCTTATAATTACATCCTTCGAGTCGGTGGGTGGCGTGGGATACTTCTCTCGTTAGATGGGATCTAGGAACGCTAATAACTGGTTCTGAATGACCTAATAGGTATACTGTTATACGATATAACCATGCAACATATAGACATCAGATTCGATCCTGTCTTGCTTCCACTACTAATGGTCTTATATCTGAAAAATTCTGTTGACTGACTGAATTTACAGTGGTACTTCGAATGAAAGTTTTGTAGTTCCATTTGTTGCGATTTAGACACCACACAAACTAGAAACAAAAATTCAAAGGAACTATAATGAATGGAAATGTGCCGAAAAAGCAATAATTAAGTCTATAATCACGAACATTAAGTCAATCTGGAAGATCACAAAGAGAACCACTTTAAGCCATGTCACCTACGGTCCCCAGCCATTCGTTCTTAGTGTCAAGAAGGCAGCAACCAGGTTTTTGATAATCCCTACCTACCTCATACCATCCGACAAAATTTTAGCTGAGTGATGCCATATTTTAATTTAATTTTAATTCGGCATACATAACACGTATCTCAGTCATCTCAATCGATGCACCTTCACAACCTTATCGATCATCTTACCCTCTTTACCTAATAATCTACTCTTAACTTCAAAATTACTCACAATACTATATTACTTAACACGGGAGACAGAACCCTTGGTCTAAGACAACTAGCCCTATCACTTCGTCCACTTTCAACGGTCATGTCACACCCATAGAGAATGACAGTGAGAATCACCACACCAGAAATGACGTAAGTTGGTAAGTCCCTCACCAGCCTTTCGTACCCGTGCTGAGACTATGTCGAAGAGCAGTCCATTACTGCCAATGCAACTCCGAGAACAAGTGGTCGAGACGCCCAACCACTCCACCCTCCATTAATAAAGAATTTGTGCAGACCAGTCATTCAGCATCATCTTACATTTCAAAGGGGCGAATCGCATGCCAAACATACTAAGGTTTCTTCCCAAGGTGTTCAGAAGACTATGTTGATCAGCGTTTTCAACTAGGAGGTCAATATCACACGAATATTCTAAGCTAACAAGAGTGTTCTGTGGTAAAAAGTCAATCCTCAAGTCAGATAAAGTTAGTTAATTCGACTAATACATCTATGATGAAACTAAACAAAAATGAGGGACAATAAACATACCTGACAGACACTACTGGTTGTCAGATGAGAACTGTTCATTAGCTCGTACACAGCTGTATGTGTTCGAGTAGAGTCCTTTTACTTTCTCGCCCATTCCTTTACAGCCAAACATTGCCATAGTACCTCTGAGCCAACGGAGTCGAATGTCACCACCTTGAGGTCCAGAAATATGGCAATTGTTGGATGCCGGTATTCCATAGACTGAAGATATAATCAGTGCACTATCTTCCTGGTCTACAACTTCCCTGGTTTTCCCTGATTTGTTTATCTCCAGTACCACTTAATCTACGCACGATTATTGAGCCTAGAATTCTAGGTCAAGCTAATCCCTCTATGATTATCAGAGGAAGACTTGTCTCTCTTCTCGTATGCTGGAATTATCAGTGACTTCCACCAGCCCAACGGGATCATTTCTGATTTTCAGACATTGCTTAGTACCTCAGTTAACCCGGACAGTGATATGTCACCGCAGTCCTTAAATATCTCTGGAGTCATTTCATAGGATCCTGCTACTTTGCCTTTGAGAATAGAAACAGTCTTCGTAACCTCATTTACAGATGGAGGACCGATATCCATAACCCCCCCCCAGAGATGGGTGTTGAACTCTGGGTAAATTTAGTGTGGCTGTAGGCCAACTGAACCGCGCCTCGAAGTGTCATCTTCAACGTCCTAGTCCTCTTTCCTTAAAGCGTAGTTCTTTTCGGAAACTGGCTCCATTGTCACTGATTTTGTAAATCCCATTCCCCCAATGAGTGTAAATAGTTGTCTGGTATTAGCACAGCTGATGCCTATTTAATCGCTTCGGCCTTTGTCACACACTACTGTCCAAGGTTGTAGCAGGGACTTTTGCTCAGCTTTTGATTCGTCATATTCGGAACCCATTGGAAGTAGTTATCTTGAATCTTTCATATCGGATGAAGCAGATGAAATATGTAGAAACTTACTACGCTGTGGTTCCAGATTATCAGCAGCCTTTTCCACTGTTTCCTACAACTGACTGGATATAATACCAGACTTTCTGAGGATTAGTATTCCTATCAATCTCCGATACACATTTAGCCATCAAGAAGCAGGGAGCGTGTCGGTTTCACAGCTACCTGTTTCTTATGTCCATTTAGCCGTAGGTATAATATACAATGTGCACGGACTACAGCGTGATAGGAGTATGTAAGTTCGGGAGACATCTACCGACCCTCTTAATAGATAACCTATGGCTATATGATCTATTGCTAACGACGATCTGAACAGAAATGTAGAGGACGATCACCGTTATCCGTTCGCCGGTGTAAAACCCCATAAGTGCCACCAATATAGTTTTCTAACTGGCTTCCTCATTCGAGTATTGAAGTCACCTGTTGACATAACCACACCTGAGTATTTTACTTCCAGTAGCAAAATAGGATTTTCAATAGAATTCGTCTTAATTGTAGTTGGTTGGTTTTGGGGACGGCCAGGGGGGGTACAAGTCATCGGCGATTGTCACTGATAATGTGAAGGATTGTCGAAATACATAAAAGCCGATTCCAAATTACTGTGTGAACACTGACACAGACGGTTGAAATGTTAAAATCAAACCTAAGCCATAATACAATCCTCACAAAATCAATGAAACAACAATAACAGTAGTAGTTAACGCAAAAAGAAAAAATTAATTATAGGAAGAAAACTTTAAATATTTATAACAGCACATAACAATATAGTGTATGTCAATTCAGTTTTAATATTATTGTCATTAGCACTAGCCGGTTATAGAGTCATACGTGTACATAAATAAAGAATGAAGGAACAATCAGAAAGGAATTATCATTCTTTCGATTGTGCTGCAACAAAAAGGCACAAACTGTTATTATGTAAGCATACAACTAACAACACAACAACCAGAACACAGCACTACGTATAAACGCACACATACACACACCAGACATTTAGCTACTTCACTGATGTCGTAAATAATAATAATTACAATAATAACGAGTAAAAGAGAAAACAAAAATTTACGATCAGTCCGACAGGAAGAAATGTATTCGAAAAATACTCCTTTAAAAACTTTTCAACATATTACTTCTTATCTTTGTTTGTAATATCACTACCATATGCGACAATTTGGGGAAAGAGAAGAATGTCTAGGCTGCTTATTTTATTTCGTCTAGAGCAATTCATTTAAACATATACGTGACGATATACCTGTGTGTGTGTGTGTGTGTGTGTAAGTTTGTCTATACTTATCTCAGGATGGTGGCTACAGGCGTTATTATATAGAAAAACAAGTGTTAGCATCAGGTAATCAAAAGGACGGAAAAGAAAAAGGGGAACAATAAAAAAGCAAAGAATAACTAGTACCTGGGATCAGAATGAATATTACTGAACTGTTACACCATCCCACCAGCCAGCCATTTTCTGAGATGATCAATCTAAAAGTAGATGATAAACAGCGCCAGTATAACTTGGCTATTTTATTTGCCTTGTATACATTTAGTCAACAGTGTAGTAGTAGTCATGCTGGTTAGTTAGTTACTTGCTTTCCTTAATGTTGTATAATATATTTCCAGAAAGACGTGTAGATTATTTTTACGCAAACATGCTGTCGATACAGCGGAACAAATATATCTTGAGGTTACAGGTAGAACTGAGGACTACAACTCTCTAACAATATATATATATATACGATATGGACTGGAATGCAAGAATAAGGCAGCTTCTTTTATTTCCAGTTAATTAGTAGTATGTACTAATTTTTTTACAGTACTAAATAAAACAGAACAATATTTGATAATATAACAAGTCGTACACAAATAAATTGACGTATACAATTTCCCTGAAACAGTATTATTGTTCCTAGTAGTGGTATTTGGTAGTAATAAATTTAGATCGGTTTTTAGTCCACCATGGTGGAATCTTCTGAGAAGTTTCTCATATAAATTCAACAACAAAAAACTACCAGTAGAAGATATTAAGAAACAGAAGAAGAAGAAGAAGAGAATATAAGTGGTGAGGAAAAAGAACAAGAAGAATAACATTGGGAGAAAAAATAAAAAGGTGTAGTCAAGTACGATAACATAGTGTAAACAAACTACAGCAAATATCCATTTACGTGGACAAAAGTTTTTTTAAGATATATATATAATGTGTGTATGTGTGTAACACAATATCATCATTCTTAAAAGAAGAATTCATTTCATTATACACGATATCCATTCTGTCGAGCACGTAGATACTCTGTTGCATGCACACTGAACTTTTCACTGCGGTATCGAGTGAGCCTAATAGACTGTCGAAGTGCATCATTTATTGTACCTCGGTAACCACCTTTACGTAGAAGTGAATCAATAGTTTCACAATGGTTCCAACCTTAACAGGATAAAGTGAAACAATATGCATACATAGTTAAACAGAATACACTGATGATACTTAGCCACTGGGGGCAGTACTATACTCGCTATGCGTTAATACTTTTGTGCATCGGTGATTCAGTGGTAGGCTGCTTGCCAACCGCCCCCCACCACCACCACACGCACGTGATCTGCTACTCAAATCTTGATCGACGCAGTCCTAAACCAACCTTGTTTAGCCGGCATATTAAGACTGGAAAAGAAGGAGGTTTTGGTGTGAGGCTAACCACCCTGCTACCACTGCTATTGAGACTTCAAAGCTTGAAGTCCTATGTTCTACTCGGAATGGAAGGGAATAAAATCGAAATAAAATTGTTTATACTTTTGATTTTACTGAGCAATGGGAATTCGTCTTATTAACGTTTATATAGTATTAAAACGAATAAAAGGTTACTAAAGAAGAGCTCCTTTTGAACAACATAGAAGAAAACAATATCAGAAGAAATAGACCAGCACAAATATTCAAGATTTTAGCAAAGCTAACAAAAATACTGATTTAATATCAGTAAAAAGTTTGAGCATTGTGGATTAGATTGAATAAAGTATAATTATATTTCATTGTGTGTAAACTATTGAAATATAATTAAAAATACTGATGTAATGACATAATATGCATCGTGTATTCAACGATAATACCTGGTTGTACAAACGCTAATTGATGGAGATCACATTTTAGACCTGTGATATTCAATGATTGAAAAATGATTGCCTAAAGCGGTCACTTACAGTCGCAAACAAATCATACACTGGCACACCACTAGAACACCAACCAGTTTAAAACGTGGACTTAAAGGTTGACATCAATTGTTTCTATTACGTTACAAGTATGCCAAAAGAAATTAGTAGAATTGCTTCTACAATCTAATGAGAATTAACTACATTAACAACAAATGAGTATCAACAACATTCATACTTATTTGTTACACCGAATCCGGAGACTAAGTAACAAATAATTTTTTTTTAATGGATGAGTCCTGAGTAGAAAATAGACCTTCCAACTTTTCAGTTACTTAGGGGAGAGGTTACCAGCCTTTCTTTTAGGGCTTACTACTGACTGATAAACTAGACAAAGTTTAGGAGTACATCGTCCAGGGATCGAACCTGAAACATTCAAGTTGAAGTAACGATGCACAATACTTAGTCTTTACGATTAGCTAGTCGATCCTTTAGGGGTGATGAAACTCCCAGAATAAGTAAGATAGTCAAAACACTCAACCACTTCACTCCGTATCTTCAGAAAAAAGGTGCAGACCAGTCGTACAACATCTTATATTTCACAGGGGCGAATCATATACCAAACATCCGAAGACTTTTGCTTGAGGTGTTCAGAAGACTCAGGATTTTATATGTAGAAATAGTAAAATGACAAAATAAACACTAAGTTCGGGTATGAAAATATGGTAGTGTAAACAGGGATTAAGAAAAACTTGAAATAACATGAATAAACAGGAAGTTTAGATAAGAAAGGAGATGGGATGGTGATTACTAAAAATTACCTGTTTATGATGGCCATGGCAAGGACAGGGGTTGGACGTATTTCTTTTGTATACAAAGCGTGAGTTTGAGCTTTTGTATAGCTAGTGCCTCGGCTATGCCCAGATGCCTTGATTTTACTCCCTTTGATAGGTTTGATCGAATCTTGTAAATGATTTTGAAGGATTTTTCGAGTGGTGCTGAATGTCCTGAATTCACCAGATGTTCTGTCACCTAACTATTTACCCGTTTTCGTTCTCCTTTTACTAGCCAGGCTGGATAGTGTTCACGAGAGCGTTTTTCAAGTCGGCGCATGGTACGGCCGAGGCGCTAGCTATACAAAAGCTCAAACTCACGCTTTGTATACAAAAGAAACACGTCCAACCCCTGTCCTTGCCATGGCCATCATAAACAGGTAATTTTTAGTAATCACCATCCCATCTCCTTTCTTATCTAAACTTCCTGTTTATTCATGTTATTTCAAGTTTTTCTTAATCCCTGTTTACACTACCATATTTTCATACCCGAACTTAGTGTTTATTTTGTCATTTTACTATTTCTACATATTTAATCCCTGATTGCATAAACAATTATTCATCACATTGGTTTTTATCCAAACATCCTGTCTATTTTGTTATTTCTACATTTCTAACTCTGGATTTTATCAAAACCTTGACCTACAAGGACTATATAATCTATACACTTAAAGTCCACGGGACTCCTCACTGAGTCGTTAAAGTCGACTAGGGTTACATCTATTTGTATATCTATGATGAAATTTTTTAATGGGAAATAATGGGCATTTCTGATGGATACCGCTGGTTTCTATCACTTTATTTGACAATACTCCGTAAGCTCTTGTATAGCTGTGTCAGAACCAGTAGAGTCTAGACTGATATGATATACTTTTCAGCACTCTCTTCACAAACAGACATTGCCTTACCAATGCTCCATCGACGGAGTCAAATTCCGCCTTTCAGTTAAGAGATATAGATAGTTTCAGGATTTCATCATGAGCTGACATTAGTTAGAGAACCACTGGAAAACCTGGGAGTACTGGACAACTGTTTCGTGGAACCAGTTGTACTACTGCAACTGAGATGAACTTGTTTTTCAAACAATATTCGATTGCTTACTGTAAAACAGTAGATTTGAAGACACCACTCCTAATTTTTTCTTAAAACAATGATGTATTGACTGAATAACTCGTAAACTGCCGTAACTAATCCATCTTAAATCATCATATATTGTGCGCTGCTAATCATGCAGTATTCGTTTTAGTTTCCTGAACATCCTGAAACAAGATGGCTAAGACAAAATTTAGGTGTTTAACCACTGATTTTCACAGTAATTCATCCTCCTATGTTTCCGCTAGATAAATTGCATTATATTTCCGCCAAAGATGTTTTTGGCCTGTATTCATAGTAAACGTTACACTAGCCCTTGAAGTTTCTGAAACTCGTGGTTCCAATCACATAAGAAAGTATAGATTTTTCGCTTACACTTGTATAGAAGGTTGGCGACATTATCCAGCCACCCGGGCTGAAGTAGACAGGTCAAGATTTGAACGCGAAACGCGTTGGTTGAAACAGAAGTGTTTACGCTCATGAATTGCATCTCCATATCCATGCGAAAACGTCAGAATACTGTAACAGCCATGTAATAAACAACACCAACTCTGAGAGCACTTTCAACTAAACAAAGAATTTTTCTGGTGAATATCACTCAATCAAACAAAAACCATTAAAATAGTTTTTTTTCCTTCACGTTCCCCAGTGGAACATAGGGCTTCAAGCTAGTAGCTTGAAGTTTCTGTAGCAGAGTTTATTTTACAGGATGGGGTTGCTAGCCTCATGCCCAACCTTTCCTCTTTACCAGAATTATTTCTGGCTTAGAGAGGTAAAGGTGTGCGTCAGCCGGGGATCGAACCCCGGACCATGTGCATGGTCGGCGAGCGTTCTAACCGCTATACCACCAACGCACATTAAAATAGTTATAAGATTAGAAATATAACATAAAATTATAATCATTCATCAAATCTTAAGAAAAAAAGACATGAGTTCACCTTGTTTGTATGCAACTTCTGGCAAATATGTAGCAGTACGATGGTAACCTTTTTCATTGACAAATTCAATTCGAATTCCATGAACACCAATCTATTGAATGAAGAAAGTGCACCATAAACGACTATTTATCATTCGAATAAAATTATTTGACTTATTTTTACCTCTTTGAGGAAATAAGGAAAAAGTAACAGATTCATGAATTTTGTGTTGGTTAGTACTGTTTGGATAGTGGGTTTCCTGATCAGAATTCATGAGACTACAATAATCTATCTATAATTAGAGACTTATGTGTGATACAACCCCGAACCGTTTGCAGCGGCTCAGACATGTTCATACCTTTAATATTTTTGTCTTTATTCTTCCTTCATTCGTCTTATAGCATACCGCGTAATTATGGAGTTCAACAGCATGTGTTCAGAACACCACTCTCAGTGGTTTGGCATGTGCTACAAATGTCATTGCAGCAATTTACTGCTTGTTAGACGTGGGACCAGTGGCACGGAGAGAAGTGGTCAGCCCTTGAGATGGAGTGGTAGTGTGAAGAATAGTTATGTTGGTTTAGCACTTGTTGATGCGGCAAGATTACCCGGGTGGTTTCCAAGATTGCATGCGACTGAGTGGTTGGAGAAATTAATAGATAGAGATCACAGTCAAAACCAATGGTGAAAAAGTTGCCATTTCCTCATTCTCAAAGTGAACTTAACTGAACTTTCAATGTAGAACTTCAAGCAAAAGTGGTTGTTCAAGCTACTACACCTTGTAAAGCACACACAAAGAAACACTAAAGATATGCAAAGAAGCTATAATAAACGGCAATGTTCGAGGAGAAGGAACAAATACAAGGGAAATATAATGAGGGTTTAATGGACCTGGGAAATCACACAGAGTAAATGCATCCACATAAGTGAATCATTTCACCAAAAATCTCTATCCACTGATTACCTGAGTTTCGAGGACTTTCATCAGGTAGTCTACGCCTTCCTACACGGTTCACACTAACAGTCAAATACTTTATGGAGTGATGCCAGGTTTTGACTTTGTTACCCCTAACTCTTTCATGAAAGTAATGTGAAGCAGTGAACACCCTATTGAATGGTGTTGATAATTACGCTGAAGCTTTTCCAGACTGTTGTTCCTTAATCACTGTATTGCTCTTTTCTTTAAGTTGTTTTCCTATTTTATGTGGCGCACCTCTCAACGCTACAATTCAGTAACTTTGAGTTTTAAAAAAAATACGATCGCTAATTGTTCGGTGCACAGTCACCTTTCAGACACTAGCCTCACAAATCAACGCATTTAAAATACATATTCAAAATGCATTGGTGTGATTTTCAGCAACTTCAGGTAATTGTATAAGGCGACGAATAAAGAAGCAAGCAAATAATAGTGGTGAGATACGAGATACATAAGATCAGTTGAACCTACCACGTTTTACATTACGACAATGAGCCATATTTATTGTGAGTTAATAATGCTACCTGACGAGCTTCAAAACCATAGATTGCTGACTTGAAGTCGATAAGCATAATTTTAGGTGCGATCAACAGCGTTAAAAAATAACTAAGAAATAAAATCGAGTAATGAAGTAAACAAATCGAAACAAAAAAGGTAGAGCATAAAGGCACAGGTTCAGCCGGTCACTCATCAGAAAATTTAACTTTGACACGTAATAAGCAGAAATAAATTACGAGAACACAGAGGAGAAGGGGACAAATGGGTCCTTCGGCAACGGTCCCATGTGGACCACTAAGTACTTTTAAAAACTGGCCTGATTCGGTAAGACCAATTACATCTGATGGATGAACAAACGAATTTAATAAAGTCTATCACGTTTTTTGCTTTGGCAAAGGACACATTTATACAAATTATATTGTTAATATTAAAGATTTCATTTCACCTAATATTACCAGTACGAATATCTTCGTTTTTTCGCATCGATGATTCCCATAAGGCTTTTCGCTAGCCATTCTACTCTGATCTGTCTGACAACTCAGCACAAAGACGCATTGAGGTCACCACACTTCAAAGAATACAAACGAGGAGACAAGACATATTGCAATTTATAATGATGCATGTGACGGAGAATAGTTAAATAACGACCAGTGAAGCTTCTAAGAATGTGAATGTGATAAGCAGTGGGTACACATCCGAGCAATTGTACACTATTTCGAACTATACTGCTAAGGGCTCCCACCCACAGACCTTTACTGTCTCGAGGATCCAAGTTAGAGAATGTACACCCGCCATCACTGCTTAGATCAGAGATTAATGAATATTTGAAGTCCTAAGTTTCAGTCTGACAGTCCTAACGCTTCTAACCTAGTCCTAGTATAACGCTACTCATGAAAGAAAAGGCACTGCCTTTGGGCTCATGATAGCCAACTCAGTCAATGGAGATTCATGACCTCATTGAGTGGTTTACCCTTATCAAACACCACGCCTAATTTCATTAATGTTTTAACTAATGTAACCAACTGAATGAAGACGCCAATGGTCCAAAACATTGTTACACACTTAGTTTTAGATATTTTGTTTCCTAGTGGTGAAGAAAGCAGCGACTGAGTAAACACAATACAATAGACTAATAGTATTGACCGATTAGTTTCAACGTAGAAATTTGCACAGGTGTGCAGCAGTTCGAATTGCCACACTCCCTGCATGTAGCACACAAAGCAAGAGAAGAGAGCAAACGGAGGTTCAAAACAGAGATAATAAACAGAAATACGAGACAAAAAAATAGTAATATGGAAAAACAATTGAACTTTATTGGATATCATAAATCTCAAAGAGTGGATGCATCTGCGCCATCATTGAGAACGATTTTAGGCCATATCAACAATTGTCTCCAGCCATTGGCTCTTACCATCCCGAGAACTCCAACCAGTCAAGAAGTCTACACCTTCCTATATGACTGACTGGCTTAAACTAATTGTGGATTTCACTGACCAATGAAGCCATGTTTTGGTTCGACCACCACTGGCTCTTTTCCAACCTGATCGATCGTATGTCAGTTAATTTTGCCCGTCGAGGAAGGCGATGACTTGGCATATGTAACATTTTCCATTGTTTCCTTCACGTTCTCAGTGGAACATAGGGCTTCGAGCTAGAGGCTTAAAGTTTCTGTAGCAGTTTTTGTTTTTACAGGATGGGGTTGCTAGCCTCATGCCCAACCTTACCTCTTTATCAGACCTATTACTGCCTTAGCGAGGTAAAGGAGTGCGTCGGCCGGTGATTGAACCTCGGACCATGTGCGTCGTCGGCGACTGTCGTAACCACTATGCCACCGACGCATATGTAACACATGTCAGAAAAGCACATTCCTTGATGCAGATGCCCCGACATTCGGATGGTAAAATTAAAGTGGACGCTGTGGATATTTCAATGGTAGACAGTAGCACAGGAAACGTCCATGTCAACAATATTAAGTAGGAGCACTCCACCCAATGCTTTAACTGATGTCTTTGTAAGCAAATAGTAAGCAAATAACTCTACGGCACCGTCTCTCGAAATGCGACCTAAACCTCATCTATTATGAAGTCGCCAAGCATTTCCCAGTTTAGAAGGTGGAGATTTGAATGCACACTTCTGATTGGTGCGATCTGCTCTAATTATGAAAATGAATACTTAAATCACGAGACTTTTAGTGACTGCAGAATTTCCACTTAAGCATTTAGAAAAAACCAGAGATTAAGCGGACATATATTCCTTTACAGTAAGTTCCTCATCATCGGCTCTACACTAATAAATAGTTTCTTACGTCAAAACATTACCAATCAAGTGATTATTTTAGTTAATCAGTTTTAGGTATATGGGAGTGAAATTAAGGGGTTAAAAGTCATTAAAACAACTAACAAACTAATAGATGTTAGTAACAAGATATCTAGGATTTGAAGTAGGGGTGTAAACTAACTACCGGATTGTAGGTGTTAGCAACAAGTTAGTACATAATCACGGAATTTGTAAAATAATGATGGCTATGAAGATTAGGATGACTCGAAAGAATCACGTAAAACAAACAAGTCAATGAATTTAGCTAGAATTGTAACAATAACAAAGTCAAACGATAGTTGCAAGGGGAGACGAAAAATAGCCTTTAAAAACCTTGCAAGGTGAGATGAAATCCGATAAACAGGTTAAAAACTTTTGCCAAAGAGGAATTGATGTCCAGTATCGGCTAGATGAGCTAGTATTGAGCTGCGTAGTTAGTTTAGAGTAGAAGATGAAGTAGTTGCAAACGATATTTTTCAACAAGTTTGGAGCTAAGTTTTAAGAGGAATTATATACCTACGTATAAACTCATGACTCTTAATGATGAACAAACGTATACAAGAGATCTTGTTATTTGTGAGAACAAATGCAGAAGTGGGCCATTCACTGCCTGCGAGTAAATAACACCTCATTTCATTAGGTCAGGGTGAAGTGAATGATGGTTGCGTAATACTAGGGTGAAAAATGGTCACAAAATTAACCACTGACCTGCCAATCCTGGTAGTTCTTGCCCTCCTCAAAGTGTAAAAGCAAGGAGACTGAACATGTTAAATGAGGGAATTCTTCTTCGGTTATTGGAGAGAAACGACTGTCTTTCATGGCACTACGTGATGCTAGATACATATAACAATTACGAAGTACCTGTTAATAGCATATTCTCGGAGACCACTGTGTATATTCATGGCAGTAAATGTACCTATACAACCACGAAGCTTTTCATCTTTTCCGTATGTCCAAGTAACAAATAGTGGGCTAAAACTCAACTTAATATGATATTCTGAATTACTACGAACTATTTGGAAACGTTTTAGGGGCGGAAGGAGGTTCAGTATTGTGCAAGTGACTGTGAAGGACATCAAAACAGAAATAACACATTTCACGCCTAACAACTCCAGGTGCACTTAGCCCATTCCGTGGGACGCATGAGCGTGAGGTTGTCTCTTCATCCAGCCGTTGCTTCTTAGCTCCAAAACAAGATGACGGAGCTCTGGAACGGGCCATCAACACCTTACTACAGTTCGTGGCCCAATAATTCCGAAGGACGCGCCGTCCTTCACGTCCAACAAAGGAGCAGCAAAAGTCCTTTAGACATAATTAGATTCAATATCCAATAAGAAATAATTAAGAAGAAAAAATTTAGGTAAATTGGAGAAATATAACATTGTTCAAATCATATAGCAATTATTCTGTTTCAGATAGCTTCGATTTTCAGCAAATATGAGAAATTGATATAAGTATAAAACTTGGGCACTGTGGTAGAGTATAACTCCATTATGGATAAGATTTTATTTTGATAATTCACGGCGTTGTATAGTTATATTAACTGATGACGTTTCGAACACAAACTATTGCTCATAATCATATCAAGTTACTCATACAGCTTCTTTTCTTCATTTATATACATGTGTGGAATCGATTAGATATTGGAATAAAATCAATACAGGATAACGTACATTCAGAAATAATAGTACGAGTGTTATTGATCAACTGCACTTAGATGCGAAATAAGACGAGTGTTTTTATAGTCATAGTAAGTTACTTGTTAGACGGTTGTGATGTGCTTAAAATGAAATGGAATTTTAAGATTATTTATTACCTCCTCTGATTTGACCGGCGGTAATAATGTCTTCCATATTTCTGGTATTTGCATTGAGTCATTTCTGTTGCATGTGATGGGTGTAGACTCAATAAACCAGGCAGAATTCAGTAATTAATCTCTCTCTACACCTACCTAGATTACTTTTTAGAATTTTAACCCTCTCCCACCCTATCGTGTGGTTGTGTGTTAATGCGTGAAGTGCAATTGCTGAGCTTTTTTCTAAATTACTCATATTTTCTCGTTCAACCATTCTTACCTTAGCTAAATTCTTATGTTCCGACAATCTGAATACTCCAGACCCATGCAGTTGACTTAACGGACAGTCATTGCGAGGTATTTTGTAAATTATATTTTGTTTGATTGGGTCCGCCGGGTATTTTAGCCTACAGAGCTTGTCTTGGAGTGAGTTTGTAGGTTTGAATGCCACTCTAATTCCTGCTTTATTAAGAATCCTTATATGATAATGTATATATTTCACATAATTTAAGCATTTACATGATTGACACGCCATTTGTACGGGCATGATCATATCTGACAAGTGCAATTTGAAACGGAACACTGTTTTATGACACTAAAAATTGGAAAAATGGAAAAAACAGCTAGCAACTATATAAGAATAGATTACAAGATTTTAGTTTAAGTTTAAATTATAATATTTAGTATACTTTTAGTGAGTCACATTCATGCGGGAATTACGACATGTTGCGTTAATGGAAGATAAGAAGAGAGGTGATATACAGGTGCTTGAGTAAGAGTGTTATAATAGCATAACAGTAAAATAAACTCCGTTGATACTTAAGACTCACAGTGTAGCTAAGAGACAGTAGTTAGTTATAATAGATGGTTCAGAAGAATTCGATTAGAGTGTTATAATAGCATAACAGTAAAATAAAATACGTAGGGTCCCCTCCTTTTATAGTAGCGGCTCAACAGATCTGTATCCACTTTTGAGGATAGTAAATGAACCGGTGAATTTCGTTTGTTGTAAGGGTACCTTTAAACCCCAAGACGAGGGTGGGGTGAAGAAGTCTGTAGTTTAAAAGATAAGCCTTTGTTGAATAGCATGTTACAAACGACACCGCAGTTTGCTCAGAAGAAGAGAGTTACAGTTTCAGAGTCTAGTTCTGACTCCACAAGTTTACAAAGTATTGCTGGGCGGAGTAAAGGTATAAAACCCCTAAGGATTCATGAAGAAGACATCAAGTCATCTACTGCTGTTATTAAAAAGTTCGAAAATGGTGAAGTCTACCACATAAACGGCGGTAAAGTGCATACTTGCGACAATGGTCATAATAGTGCACATTTGTCTTTGGCTGATCATGATGAGACGAGCGGAATGCCTACTAGAGTGGTAAGAGCAGGCTGCTAGCCAAATTGGTTGACATTAATTTACGTCAGTGTTTATGTCCCAATATTGATCGTGAGAAAATATGAACAAAGACTGATTCAACAACCAATCACAGCAGACTTTGTGTAGGCCGATACAGTTAACATATAGATTATCTGACATTCAAGAAACAGTCACAGGGAGATACAAGGTTAACTTTCTGTGAGAAACAACCAATCAGGAGACTGTGTTTGTTTGCTTGAATAAGCTATAATAATGTACGTGAAAATCTGTAAATACGTGTTGATTTCCTTGATAAACGATCTGTTGCCTGACTCTTGCCTTCTGTCGTTACAATTGGTGCCACCGCCTCCGATTCCATGGCCAACTGCGTTTGAAGAAGGAGACATACGGAGGTTCTTGCGTGACTTCGAGGCCGTCGCTGAGCTGGTTGGGGTCAAGAAGCAGGCGGCGAAGGCGGTTGTCCAGGGGACGCTGTTGAGAGGCCGAGCGAAGGCGGCATATGACAGCGTGGACAGGTCAGGTGGCATAGCGTCTTGGAAGACATTGGTTGAACGATTGGTGTCGGAGTTCGACAGAGCAGCAGACAGACAGCTATCAATACAGCAGTTCCGTTCGACGAAGCTGGAACCTGGTGGAGACCCTTTAGTATTTGCGCTGAAACTGACGAATCTACTTCAACGTGCGCTCCCCACTTTGGATGAGGAATCAGAGGCGCGGTTTCTGAGTTCCCAGTTCATCGAGTGTCCCAGACCACATTTCTCAGCCATTACAACTGGTAATGCAGTGCAGCCGAGGTAATGGGGGCAATGGAGAACGGGGCGATATATTTGAAGTTATGTGTAAATGACCGCGAATTGGTGTGTTCAATTGACACAGGGGCAGTAGTCTCACTCGTAGATAGGAGCCCATCTGGGGGTATAGTACCGTGTTCGTTGGCGGTGAGGGCAGTGGTGAGTCACGTGGTAAGAATCGAGGGAGTGTCAAACTGCAGATTTAGAAGTGGAAAGAAAAGTGTGACGTTCCTATTCCTGATAGTACCTGAATTGCACCGAAAAATCCCTGGGGCAGACTTTTTGTGAGAACTGGATGCAGTGCATGCACGAGAATAGTGAGGTGGCAGGGTTTGCGGCGTCGGAAGTCCTAAGTGAAGCAAATTTACCTAGCAAATACGACCACCTTTTCACTGGAGAGAGAGATCCGTACGGTTACTGTGATAAAGTGAGACACGAAATTCCAGTGACAAGCTGAAACGTGAGACTATTCGTTACTTGAAGAGTACCATGTCACTTAGAAAGCGAGGCTGCAAGACAGGTTGAAGAGATGTTGAGGGATGACATTATTGAAGAAGCCGACAGTCCATATAGTTCTCCAGCGCTATTGGCGAAGAAAAGCAACGGGAAATACAGATTTTGTGTTGATTTCCGACAATTGGACAGTAAAACAGAGCTGAGACCACGTGAGATGCCAACAATATCAGAAACTTTAGATCACCTATAAAGTGCGAAGTTGTTCACAGTCTTAGATCTGCCATCGGGGTACTGGCAACTGTCAATAGAACGACGGAATAGAGATAAGACGGCGTTCTTTGTGGGACAAAAACAGTATCGGTTTGAACGCATGCCTTTTGGATTGGCAGGTGCTCCGTTTACGTTTAGGCGACTAATGACGTCACTGCTTTAGAGTTTGAAGAACGTCAAAGTTTATGGAGATTATCTGGTGATATATGGTACGAGCGAGAATGACCACGTAAAGCATGTAGAGGCGGTCCTAGGACGCATCGAAGAATTCGGTCTACGCATCAACAAGGATAAATCTCAGATTGCCAAGAAGAACGTCACGCTTTTGGGCCATAGGGTGGGAAATGGAGAGATAACACCACTGCCGAAAAATATCTTAACATTCAAGTCCATTGAGCCCCCGAATTTGAAAAGGAAATTAAGACAGTTTTGGGGAGAGAAGCGTTCTACAGCCGATTCGTGAAAAACTTCAACAAGTAGCAGCTCCGCTCTACCGGCTATTAGGCGAGCCAAAGTTTGTCTGGTCGGAAGACTCGCAGAGGGTGTTTGACCGCATCAAACAGCCGATGGATCACGAGAGAATGACGCTGCGACTACCGGTGCCGGGAATGCCGTTCATAGGGTCTACCGATGCTGGCGATCACGGAATAGGCCCAGTACTTAGACAGGGTGACGGAGTCGCCGAATACGCCGGCCGTGTTTTAACGCATACGGAACAGCAGTATTCAACAAGTGAGGAGTGTCTGGCAATTGTGTGGGGAGACCCTATTTGTTTGGTCAGCGGTTTCACGTAGAGACTGATCATAAGCCGTTGCAGTGGCTGAGAAACCCCAGAGACACACGTGTGAAGTTGTCACGGTGGCTGTTGCGCCTGCAAGAGTATGATTTCACGATTTCTCATGTTCCAGGAGAAGAGAACTTGTTACAGGACATTTTATCCAGAACAAACAAGGTAGACTTACTTGAAATAGCATATGGTGTAAATGCCTTAGAGCAAGACCCAGCAAGACTTGTCCAGATTCAAAGATCAGACGACAACTTGAAAACCGTCATACAAGTGATAACTAACGAAAAAATGGTGAATCGGCCCACAGCGAGCCGTAAGCTAAATCTCCTACTCAAACAGAGAGGCCGGCTAAGCGGAATGTTGACGTGGCGGGAGGATGATGGAAGCTGCTTAGCAGTAGTACCTCTTCCTGCGCCAAGAGATGATACAGGAATGTCACCAACTAGCTCACACAGGTGTTGTCAGAACAGACGACCTCCTACGACAAACCATGAACTGGCCACGTATGAGGGAAGACGTCGAGAAGTACGTAAATGCGTGTACGCAATGTCAGCAGATGGAAAGTGATCAATTCATATTACCATCACCGCAGTCGATCCCAGTGACAGCAGTAGGCAACCTGTGGCCCGTAGATGCAATGGGACCTTTTCCACCAACGTCAGGTCAATCAAGTCTCATAAACAGTTAATGTCCAGCTCTTGCTTCGCTGGGCCTCACGCTGTCCCTCGAAGATTTTCAGAAACGCTTAGTGTTCCAATATCCAATATCGTTTTTACGAGCTAGTATAAACCAATTTGATTTCTTTGTGCT